TAAGTTGGTGATCAAACAACTTCTTAAAGAATATGAGGTTAAGAAAGATGAACTAGTACCATACCATCGTTATGCCTCTCATTTGTTGGAACGGTTTGATAGTGTCATGCTAGAGCACATTCCGAGGAAAGAAAATCGAATAGCTGATGCTTTAGCAAATTTAGCAACAACATTGGCATTAACTGGTGAGGACCCGGTTGATGTTCCTGTATGTTAACGATGGGTCTTGCCACAAGTCCTGGAAGATAAATTTGAAGAAAGTAATTTGGTTTCTTATTGAACACAAGAGGAAGAAGACTGGAGACTCCCTATCATTGATTATCTGGAACATGGAAAGCTTCCCGAAGACTTACGCCACAAGACTGAAATACGAAGACGAGCACCTCGTTTCATCTATTACAATGATACTTTGTATAGGCATTCATATGAGGGTCTTTTCTTTCGCTGCCTTGGAAATGACGAAGCAACCCACATAATGAAGAAGGCATACTCTGGGATTTGTGGAGCCCATCAATTTGGTCAAAAACTTCACTTTCGCGTCAAAAGAATGGGTTATTATTGGCCCACCATGGTCAAGGACTACTTGGAGTATGCGAAGAGGTGTCAAGCCTGTCAATTCTATGTTAACTTCATACACCAACCACCGAAGCCGTTACACCCTACTGTGACGTTATGGCCATTCGATGCATAGGGATTAGATGTAGTTGGTCTTTTAGAAAAGTTTTCAAAAGGCCACTTGTGTATCTTGGCTGTGACTGTTTATTTTTCAAAATGGGCGGAAGTTGCACCCTATAAACATGTGAAAAAGGAAACAGTTGTTGATTTCATCAAGTCCAACCTTATTTATCGATGTAGTGTCCCTCGATACATCATCACTAATAAATGGAACGAATTTCAAAAACAGTTGGGTAACTGATCTTTGTGAGAAGTTTGGTTTCAAATAACGTAAATCCTCTATGTACAATGCCCCTACAAATGGTCTTGCAGAAGCATTCAATAAAACTTTTTGTGAGTTATTGAAGAAAGTAGTCAACCAGACAAAGAGAGATTGGCATGAGCAAATGGAAGAAGCATTGTGGGCATACCGCACTACGCATCGTACACCTACTCAAGCAACTCCGTATTCTCTTGTTTATGGCGTAGAAGCGGTTCTTCCATTAGAACAACAAATCCCTTCGTTAAGGATAACTATAGAAGAAGGTTTTACAAGTGAAGAAAATACCATCTTACGTCTTCAAGAACTGGAAGCATTGGATGGGAAGAGATTAGAAGCTCAACAACAGCTAGAGTGTTGTCAAGCTCGACTTTCTAAAGCATTCAATAAGAAAGTTCGACCTCGGTCATTTCAAGTTCGAGACTTAGTATTAGCTGTTCGTAAACCAATTGTCATGAATTGCAAGGGAAATAAATTTGTATCCAAATGGGATGGACCATATGTTGTTCGCGAAGTTTATACTAACAGTGCATATCTCATTATTGATAAAGACGGAGTAAGAGTGGGGCCCATTAATGGCAAATTCCTGAAGCGCTACTACCCATGAAGGCTATGCTCCTGATCGTATGAGCTTAAACTGCACTATGCTCCTAGCCCGCATGAGCTAAAACTGTGTACGGCCCAAAAAAATATATATATATAAACTACGTAATGACGATCCCTGTTCATGGTACGTAGGCATTTTGGAGGTCTGTTCCAAATTCAGTCAACCCAGCCAAAAAAAAAAAAAAAATGGTAGAGCTCCATCTTCGAGACAGATATGCATAAGCACAGTTGCGTAACTCGGTAACTTCATGTCAAGTTGCTACTGATGTCTGGTGCATAAGTAAACTTGTACATTAAGTTAGATCTTTTGGTGGAGCTTCAGCTTAAAATCATCATCAAAACTGATAATGGCTAACGTACTGGTGGTATAACCTCTTAGAGTCTGTTCTTACTCTCTGAATGGTTGCTGTCTGATCTGTGGCTAATGAAGGCTAATAGACTGCGTCTACATCTGTCGTTGCTCTCTGAATTGATTCGTAGCTGCTGATGACACTGTCTGTGCTAGTCGTATGACATTTCGGAGTCTGTTCTCGCTCTATCAATGGCTGCTGGATGATGCATGGATGATGAAGATGCTCTGGCGGCGGGTGTTGAAAACGTTGTCTGTAGTGGTAAAACCTCTCTCCATTCACATCTGTCGTTGCTCTCTGGGCTGATTCGTGGCTGCTAACGACACTGCTTATGCTGGTGGCATGACCTCAATGGGTCCTTATGGACTAGATGCATTCTAAAGGAACAATGGGTCCTTATGGACTAGTTGCATTCTAAAGGAACAATGGTCCTTACGGACTAGATGCGTTCCAAAGGAATAATGGTTCCTTACTGATTAGTTGCATTCCAAAGGAACAATGGGTCCTTACGGACTAGTTGTGTTCTAAAGGAACAATGGGTCCTTACGGACTAAACGCGTTCCAAAGAAACAATGGGTCCGTATGGACTAGTTGCGTTCCAAATGAACAATGGGTCCTTACGGACTAGATGCGTTCCAAAGGAACAATGTGTCCTTATGGACTAGTTGCATTCCAAATGAACAATAGGTCTTTATGGACTAGTTGCGTTCTAAAGGAACAATGGGTCCTTACGGACTAGTTGCATTCCAAATGAACAATGAGTCCTTACGGACTAGTTGCATTCCAACCGAACAATGGGTCCTAGAGGGAATTAAAAAAAAAAATTGTGATTTCAAAAAAAAAAAAAAAAAAAAAAAGAAGAAGAAGAAGAAGAAGAAGAAAGGAAAAAGAAGAAGAAGAAGAAGAACAAAAACATACCAATTATTTGTGTTCAAGCAGAGCCCACAATCCAATACAGTTTTCAGAAGTTGTAATCTGACAAGTCTTTAGAGATTATTGGAATTGATGTCAAACCCTACAATATTGAGGGTATATAAAAGCAACAAGATACCTCCCAGTTGTATTGGGATTTGGATAATTCAAGTCAAATAGAAAAGTAAAATTCCAATCCAAAGTTGGATAGAAAAGCAAAAGAGGAAATCTTACAATCCAAAGTTGGATAGGAAAGTGAAAAAAAAAAAAAAAAAAAAAATGAAAGTTGAATACTTCAAGTCCCACTTGAAAAAGGAGATAAGTCCTGTTAATCTTGGGACTCGAAGTGGGGGTAATTTGTAGACACTAAAATTTTAGTGGGCTTTTAGTTTTGACAAATGGACCCATGAAATATGGGCTTAATGTTTAATTAAGTTATTTAATTGGCCCAAGCTTGGTCCACTTAAATTATTCAATTAGCCCAATCAAGATGATTAAATAAAATGATAATTATCATAATATAACTGGTCTGGCCAGTTATAATTTTATCCTTATCAGAAGATGACACGTGTCATCATCCTATTAATCCAAGAAGCCTATAAATAGAGGCCTGAAGGAAGAAGGAGGGTACACAAATTTAGAATTCAGAAGTCTAGAAATCTAGAGACTCAAAAATCCAGAGACTCAGAGTCAGAGACACAAATTCAGAATCCAAATCCAAAAGTGAAGAACATCAAGCACATCCAAAGACGTGTCATTTGTTTATCAAATTCCACAGTGATCAACAACAAGCGCATTAAAAAACGTGCCATTCTTCATCCAAATTCCACGGTAATTCAAGATTAAGTTCATGCAGCCCTTGAATCTAACCAACCAAAAAGGAGATCAAATCAGAGGACCTTTCTTTTGTAAAGAATATTACAAATGATTGTACTCCATCATTATCAATTAATAAAATATTATATTTGCCTATATTTTGATTCTATTACAGACTTACAAAATTTGTGTGTACAGTCCCGTTCCTTAAGAATTTTAGATGGGTTTTCTTTGACAACTTGTGTCTATGACCCTATTTCTTTGGAAATTTAAATGTTTTTTTGTATGACTACTTGTATCCGTGAGTTTTGAATTGTCACTTTTTTAATTTTTTCTTTCCCCCGTGTATTTATTTTTTGAAAGTTCATTTTTCTTTAGAAGCTTGAGTCCATGAAAGGAAAAGTACTAACAAAAACTGTTATAATGCTATGCAAAGAAGAGTATTCTTTCTTACAATGCTCAAAAGTTACTTCTTTTGTACTTTTATTTATTTATTTTATCAGTACTCCTTTTGTACTTAATCCATGTGGAATATAGAATGAAAATTTTATATATAATTGATTAGAATCAATATATCTTAATATACATAATTTTATTAGATTTTATCTTGCTTGACTGCGTATCTCTTTACAAAGTAGTTCTTGTTCAACTTCTCTTTACTAGTTCAAATTAAGCATGAATTGTTGAGAGATACTCAGTCAAGTGAAAAAATAAATCTGATAATTATGAGGAAAAAAGAAGAAGAAAAAGATCTCATCTCATTTCTTGATCCTCTAAGATATATAATCGCGACAATATATGAGAATTGCTCTATTAAGACACTGAGAGACTTCTATATATAATGATTATAGATAGAAGTGTGACAAAAACTCTAAAATATTTAATCTAAGTAATAAAAGTTCACATTAAAAATAAACGAAATGAACTCAAAATGAACTCGAAATCATATGCGATATAGATGACATAGTAAGATATATTTTCATATTCCTTCTTTCACACTGAAAAATATCATCCTCTTATCAAATAAATTGCAATTTATCAAAGTCTTCTTAATCACAGATTAAAGGAGGCACTAACTCACTAGCTATTGAGACATCTGCAGTAACTAGTGATATATATAGTAATTAATAACTTATTATAGTTATTATTATTAATTTTGTTTATATGTCTCTAGTGGGCCGAAATGATGGGCCTAATGAATTGTATAGAAGCCCAAATTCAAATCCAAGGCCCACAGCCCTATTCCAGTCAGGCTGTGGGCCTCAGCCCAATGGTTACGGCTTTACCCAATAATTGTTGGTACAATGTAGTGCGTGGGACCGCCGCGAAGCAAAGTGGGTAAGCATCTAATTTGCTCTCTTGCGTGGCCGAACTTTAGATTCCATACAAATACAAACTCTCCTCCTTTCAAAAGCGCTCTCTCTAGGATATTGAGTATTGAGAAATATCTCTGAGCCGGAGTTTCGATTTCACCAATTCTAATTATAATATCCCTATTCGTCTTCTCTCTAAATCGCATTATTTTCTCTCTCTTCTGGGCTGCTGTGGTGGCTGAACGTTAGAGCGAAAGATCTGTGTTTGAGAGTATGCCGCCGCCGGCAGTTGAAGGAGGTGGAGGAGGAGGAGAAGGGCGACAGCAGCAACAACCGCCTGGATTTGGACAGATGATTACTGGAGTTATAAGGATAGCAGTGTTTTGGTACTTTGCCTCCAAGTTCTTCTCTCCAAAGAAGCCTATGGAGCCTTCGCTCCAGATCTCAAATCTCTTCCACAAAGGCGAATCGCTGGTCCGTCTCTCTATAACTCTCTCTCTTTGTATATATGTATAGTGAAGCACTGATTTGGTTTTACTGGTTTGGTTACTCTAATGTTAATTGGGAATTCATAGTTGCAAGATCACTATAACTTATTCTTCGATTAAATTGTTAATTTTTACTATGAGAGCTGAATTTAAAATTTTGGTTTCCTGAAGTCAAATATGTACTTCCATGAGTTCTTAAAGTAATTTTCTTTCTCTTTGTTTGTGTGTCTGTGCGGAGTTGTGTATTATTCAGGGGATTATAACTCCTGGGTGGGGCTTGAGAAATATTTATTCTCGGTGGAATGCTTTTGCCAATGAAATTTAGATTCTATAGGGGTTAATCAGGTAAAGGGGCTATTGCAAGAATCTCTTTTTCATTTTGGTAAGTAGGGGATAAAACTGAAGTAATTTCTATCACATGAATATCATTGAGCACATTGTGGGCAAACAATAATACTAATTATTTTTTTCTCATAATAGAGGTGAAAGAGAGGAGATAAAGAGAAAAATAGCAGAGGGAGGATGCAATGCATATTCAAAGCTTCTCATTCATAAGAGAAGAAAATGGAGAATGAGGGAGAAGAGTAGAGATGATGAGAGAGGGAGGATGCATAAGCACAAACTTCCTAATCTCCATAAAAGGGAAAAGTAAAATTAAAGAGGGATAAGAAGGAGAAGAATGGCATGAGAGTCTCTTTCAAGACACTCATTATATATATATCTTATAAGTTTAGCTTCTTTTCCTTCGAAAAGTCGTAGCAAAAAAAAAATACACAGATTATATTAAAACTCAAATTCTCATTCCTCAAGCCATTAAACTTTCTATAAAATAAAGAATATAATAAAATTCTTAAGAGGAGATTCATAATTAATATTTTTGAACTAAAATAGATCTCTCTCTATCTTATGCCTATTTTTGTTGGAGGAGGATGGTTTCCATTGGATTTTTATTAGGGTCCTATGGGCCGGTGAAAGATGCAGAGATGGGCCTACTCTGGGAGGAGCTAGGGCATGTGTAGAGGAGATGGAATAGCCCATTGGAGGCCCCATCTTCATGGTTTGCAGTTTAATAGTATTTTAGTGAAGAACAGTGAGTGCTGGGGGTGGCTGTCTGAAGATAGGAGGCATTCTTGGCCTTGAAGAGTTGTGACAAGGTCAAGGCGCCCGGTGCAGATGGCTTTACTATGGGTTTCTTCTAGGAGACAGGAAGAGTGGGGTGCCGGATGTGAAGGACTTTAGACCAATTAGCTTGGTGAGGAGCATGTACAAGCTGGTAGCTAAAGTTCTAGCCCTACGGTTAAGAGGAGTTATTGATGATGTGATTTAGGAAATCTCAAAATTCTTTTGTTGGGGGCGGCCAAATTCTCAATTCTATTTTGATTGCTAGTGAGAGTGCGGATTCTAAGCTGGTTAGCGGAGTGACTTTTGTAAATTGGACGCGGAAAAAGGCTTGCACTTATCGATCATCATCGCCAGAGCAGTTGCTGCCGTTACCATCATTCACCATCAGACGAGGGTAGATTTAAGGTTCTGATACCAAAAGACGAAGTGCAACTTGTGAATGTTCTTGAAGGACTACATGAATAACTTAGAATTTGCAAAGAAATTAATTCTGATATATTATAAGTGAATAATTTATGAATAAATCTGCTATTGTAATACATGTATTTATACTAATAAAAAAAAAAAAAAAAAATTCTAAAACAGAATGAATCCTAAAAATACTCTCTAAAATTATGAAAAATAGAGATAAACTCCTAATGATTAAACCAAGATAAATACCAAAATTCAGAAGAATCCGAGTTTGTTTAGACCTCCAACAAAAATCGCAAAATATTCAACAGTCTTCATATGGGATATAGGATGGAAAAATGCAATTTCGAGGCTCTAAATGATGGAATTCGGCCAAAAAGCAAGATGAGGTGGTTTTGATTATTGGGTTGCTTCCGGTTGAGAGTCTTCACAGGTTGAAATGAGTTGGTTGAACTGCACAAAAAATTTTAAAAAAAAGTTCAATAAAACCGTACTACATCATAAGCCTTTGTTTACAAGAGAAAAGTGGGTAGAGAAGAAATGATAAGACTGGTCGAAATGAAAAAAAAGATAAAATCGTACTACATCATAAGCCTTTTGTTTACAAGAGAAAAGAGGGTAGAGAACAAATGATAAGAATGGAGGCAAAAAAGCGATATCCAAACCTCTCAATCTCTATGCAAAGAGAAATAGGATTAGAGAGGACAAAAAAGAAAATCTGGAAAAAAGAGAGAGGGGAGAGGAGAGAGTTTGATTAGGTCTCATAAACCTTATAAATAAATACAACACCATCTTTTATAACCAACCTTGCTCAACATAGTAAAAATATGGTATATCCGTTATGCCTTGGATTCGTGAAGGTCAGGAGGGTGGCTGGGAGACCATTAAATGGTTCTCGATATATTACCACCATTTAATATATGACCACCATTTAGAGCCGCCATTAAAGAATAGGAAAGACCTTCAACACACGGAAGAAAAAGGTTCAGCTGTCTTTCTACTGAAATGTGTTTTAGTGCCTTCTTGATCGCCAGGACAGTGTCATATGGTTAAGAAGTCAGGGCTTCTGTTGGGTTTCCTCTAGCTTTCTATAAAATAGAATATAGACAAAATACTCTTAAGGGAAAAACTCCTAATAGAACTTTAATAGATGAAATCTCTCTCTTGCCATACATCTCATGTGTTTTACATCAAATAAATCTTTAAAGGTATATTGATATGCTTAGTTTGCCTTTATTAGGGTGCTTCTGCCTCTTTAGAGTGCATCAAGTTACTGTTATGAGTACACTTGTGTAGAACTTCAAATGGTATAATAAAGAATATGCATATACAAAAGTCATTCAAGTATTATGATTGTATCAAAGTAGATTACGTAAGGCCTCATGTGCTTACTAATCTTTAACACTGTTTACACGGGCAGTTGCATGTGTGCATCTCACAAATTCTGTAATGCATTTGTAGGAATTAGATATAAAAAATGAGTGGCTAAATAAATCAAGTGCTGAACTAGGAGAAAGATATGGTGCTCAGTGTCAAGAAGAATTGGTCTGAATATTGCTTTAAATATTATGGGTAGTATGGTTGGTTCTCTTTCCAGTTGTCATTTAATTTCCTGTCCTTCAAATGGAAATTTATATTTAACTTGTTTTCTGGCTGAGATTTTGTCCTTATGAGCATGTGTTTGTGTGTGTTTAGTATATGTTAGGTTTTACTTGTGTTAAGGATATATGTGTTTTTCAAGAACTCTGAGTAGCAGTCTCATATTTGTGTGCAGGATATGTGGTTTTATCTTTCTGAACATGAAAAGTTCAATGATTTCGGTAGTGAAGGTGCACTTGTCTGGCATGAGACAAACATTCCTTATGCAGTTTGGGGACCGGAGAGCACCAGGTCTCTCTCTTTGAAGTATTATCCATCTGAGGTATTATTTGTAAAATATGCAGTAAATATCACTTGTTATGTTTTTATGTGAAGTGCATAGCACTTTGGGTTACTTCAACTATGACTAGTTTTAAAATCTCTAAAATAATTATATTGTAGTTGTTTTTGATTCCTTAGTTTTTTAGCACTTTTTGCCTGTTTTATTAAATTTAAGTGCTCATAACAATTCTATTTTAAGGCTTTGAAGCACAATGGGAGTCTTTTTGCTCATGTTTTCTTCACACGTTCTGCTTATCCTCCGGATCCCAATGATCCCGAGTACCAGCCATTGGCTGCCTTTGGGAGGACGCATCGTAAGATTGCTCTCAGCGACTTAGTATAAATCTTACAGTATTAAGAAAATAAAATGATGGGTAATAAATATCATGTACTAAGATATCCTTTTACTTTGATTTACAGCTGTCGTAACATTCATGCCCAAGTCAAAAACAGATAAAAGGAAGAGCCTGTTGGGGAATTCAAAAGGCTCTACTGAGGGTGAAATGGCGAATGAGGTTTGTTTTCCTATATGATATTTTTGTGAAAACTTGAGGTTTGTTTTCCTAGATGATATTTTTGTGAAAACTGCTTTATTGATCTATATGAGCATTGTTTTTGCGTGTTGACTCCTCATAATTGTATTCTTGGATAGACTTTTTTGATGCTTTGGCAAGGCATTTCCTGGTGACTTGTAAAAAAAAATCAGTTTCCTGATTTTTTCCCCTTAATTTGGGAGAAGCGATAGTTGTTACTATTATGCAAGCAGTTGAGGTAATTAATTTTTTTAGCAAATATAAGTAGTTATAATTTTCATTCTTCCAATGATGCAAGTTGAGGCCTTTTCATTTGAATTTTTTTATTTTTTTTCTCTTTCTCTTTCCAATTGATGTAGGGGCTAGTTTCCATTTTCTTTGATAATTAAGATAAAATTTTATTAACCAGAAAGAAAGTATACCACAAGCCCAATACATGCCTGTAGGCAATCAGGAGATACAACCTCTCATTTTTTTTCTTTTCTGATGGACTGATCACTTCCCCAACTTTAGAGGATAGGTCACACCCCCACTAAGGCAACAAAATGATGTTTTCTCAGGACGCGGAAAAAATAAGGTCAGCTTTCATTAGTCATGTAAAAACCCGAAAATCTTATTGTTCTGATCTCTGGTTCTAAAATTGAAGGGCTCCAATATTTATTCCTCTACTGATGTAGATTATTCACATGTCCAGTTGAATTGGTCTTCATATTATTTGGATTCAGTCGTTTTTCAGTTCTATGTAGAAAAAACACACTGTTGATTACCAATAAAGAGGCTTACTATGTCAGAGGGCTTCTTAAGCACTGTATACTGAACATGTCTTATAAACCTAGTATTCAAACTGATGATCATTTGGTTTGTTGCTTGATGCTCTATGGTGAAAGGCCAGGTGATGATGTCACACAATTGTATGTTTGTTATTCCCTAATTATTGCCCACTTTACGGTGGTTTAATGTTACTAGAAAGGCTAAATATGATTGGTTGTAATTTGTTTGAACACATGTCATCTCTTAAATTGATCCTTTCTCATGTATGTTTGTTATTCCCTAATTATTGCCCGCTTTATGGTGGTTTAATGTTACTAGAAAGGCTAAATATGATTGGTTGTAATTTGTTTGAACACATGTCATCTCTTAAATTGATCCTTTCTCATCACCTTATAGAGAATTTGAGAGCCTTTAATAAAGATACAGAATTTGTATTTGTTTTTGTTCATATGAAGAAATATTGTTACTGGTAAAATGAAAAAAAATTCACATATAATATCTGTTGACCAATGAAATTCCTTAACCAATCAGATCCTTTGGGTGAGCTCCCCAATTCTTAGCATATAAGTCAATTATGTAATCAAAGAAGACTTGTAAATAATAAAATATGTGTGGAGAGAAATGAAACAAGAAAAACAAAAAAGATTTTATGTGGTTAAGTCACTACGGCCTACATCCACTGCACAAAGAGCCCAAAGGGCCACGTCACTTTTATAATATTCTCTCTTTTCATACACAATACAATGTTATCCAGAGGAAGTTTTCCTGTAGTGAAGAAAAATTGGATAGCATCCACCAGCTCACTTCCCACAATAGACCAGAACTTTTGATAGAACCTGTTGGGAAATCCATCTGGACCAGGGCCTTGTCTGGTTTTACAGACATAACAACATCCTTAATCTGTGTAACAGTTATGGGAGCCACCAATACTAGATTCTCCTCTGCACTAACAACAGCTTTTGATGCTCCTACTGTTGGAATAGGAGTAGGAACCCGAACTTCTGCATATAACCTGTCAAAATATTCAAAAAACCACTGTCTAATCTGTACTTGATCTCTAGAACAGCATCCATAACTATTTTGAAGGATAGTAGGGGGAATCTTGTACATCTTGGTTTGGAGAAGTTCCAAATATCTTTTCCCGCACAGTTCGATCGATTGGCTTTTCGATCAAGTTACACCAACGCTGCTTTGATGGATTGACTCTTGCTATAATACCAATCATCATGCCAGATCCTAATTTCCTAATGCCTTGTGCTCCTCACCGAAACATGATCTGCTTAAGAGAACTCCTCCCCTCCTGAATGCTTGTATACACCATGAGAGACCCTAACTCTCCCTCATATGCTGAGCCCCCCTTGGCCAGTATCACCGGCATACTTCTCATCTTCTATGCTATTCTTCACCACCTATGAGATTGTTTTGTATAAAACGACTTTCCTAATGAATAATTATATAATCTGAGGTTCCAACCCTTTCCTTCAGTTGAAAAAACACTGAACTTCATCCAATTACTAAGTGACATTTTCAATCTTTTCCTGACAGAGCCTAAATGGGAAAAAAGGACATTATGTTACTCACCAACCTGGATTGAATGCTCTATTAAGTAAAATTGTATAAAAGCGCTCAAAAGGGGAGCGAAGCCCAAGAGAACTACACAAGCCAAAAAGGGCCTCTAAGCCTTCAAAGAGGCCAAAAAATCAACAATCTCCTTTAAAGATCTATAATTTCTCCCTAAAGCCCAACAAAAAAGAGTAGAAATAATAGAGAATTTAAGCATAGAAATAGGCATCTCCTTTCATTTGAAATCTCTCCTATTCCTCTCGAGCCAAATACACCACCAAACACCGCTGAGGCGTAGCCCTCCAAGCATCCCGAATATGTGCCCCCACTGTACAATCTCTCCAAGCCTCAATCAACCCTTTGGAGGATCTAGGCATAACCCACTTAATCCCAAACAAACCAAGCATCAAATCCCAACAGTCCCTGGCCATGGTGCAATGTAAAAGAAGGTGATCCACTGTCTCCTCCTCTGTTCTTAACAACATTTGCATTAAATTAAGTACCTGAAGGCAGTCTTTATAGTCATTTGGGAGCTCCCTAATCCTGTATGACAGCCACAAAACTGTCCACCTCTGTTAATTCTTTCCTTGTCAGATTAACTCTTTTTTTTTTTTTGATAAGTCCTTGTCAGATTAACTCTTAAACTCAACACTGCCTGGAAACAAATATTTACACATCTCGATGCCTTAAGTGCTTCTTTGACTCACAAAATACAATGGTAACATCCACGAAGAAGAGGCGGGAGACTATCAATAGTGTTCCCGAAACCATCTGAGTGTCAAATTCTCCTAGGGAGTCCCTTTCAATTGACCTTGCTATTATGTTGAGCACTTCCACGATTCCATCACCATAATAAACAAGAGAGGGAGAGAGGTTTCCCCCATGTAAAGCTTCTCGAGCTGCTAAATAATCCAATTGTTGTACAATTGATGATACTAGAGAACCACAATGTAGAAACACAAAACCCAATCCATTTCAGTTCGAGCCCCATTTTCTCCATGACTTGGAGAAGGAAACCTCAGTTGACATGACCATAGGCTTTCTGAATATCTAATTTACAAGTGACATTGGATCCCCACTCGCCACTCTTAATTCATGGTTCCACACCTTCGTTGGCCACTAATATTGCATCTAAATTCTAGCATCCCTCTGAGCGCTTATAAGTTCTCTTTGCATTGAAAGGAATAGAAGGTCTTTTGATGGAGTTGAAGCTACCAATATGGATGTAATACCGCTACATTCTGAGCTCTCTTATTTTTGGGTTTCTAGGAGGGTTAGTAAATATGTGGAGGAATATTGCTTGATTTTTTGGATAGTCTATTGAAATTATAGTGGTGTAGAGAGATTGTTTTTTCTATGTGCAGTTGTTTTTCGGTTCACTCCACTTGGAGCACTTCTTAATGACATTTTACTTGCAAAAAAGAAAAAAGAAAAAATATCTAACGTCAAACCATTGAGGCATTTTTCAGTTTTGATACCACACTATCCACTCTCCTCACAACTAGAAGCCCAGAACTTTGGCTATTAGCTTTTATATTACTCCTGTAAGCTAATAGGTCTAAACTCCTGCAAATTTATTTGGGAATAGCCTCAATAAAGGAAGCACTCAAGCTCCCCTTGGACTCCTGCGGCATAGAATTGGTGTATTGTGGTACGGGCATCTCCTCTGACTACCTCCTACCACTGCTGATAAAAAGCCATGCGGTCTTGGAGCTTTATCCCTATTAGAAGGCTTTAGGGTTTCCACGGTCTCCTCTTTGAAAAACTCTCACTACAGTTGATGAAAGAAGTTTGCATTTTTATCCCCCACCTTAGCCAAAGAGTCTTGATTTCTTCTGCCTCCAACTCATTTCTTCAATAAGAGCAACTTTTCCATACTTTGCCTTCCACTTCTCCCTTCTAGCCACTTCATAAGCTACCATCCACCCTTTTTTTGCCATCTAGTTCTTTGATATCTTCCAACACTTTTTATTACTTGACTCGAAGTTTCCAAGCACTTTCTTCATACCTTTCAGCTGATTCTTTTTAGGTGCTGAAATATTCCTTGGTGTACCCAACACAATATAACCCATCCCACCATTGCTTGATCAGGTCAGAGTAGGAATCCCCGGTTATTAGAGCACCCATATCAAGCACCAACAAGGTGCAAGTTCATCAATCTGTTGGTGTCCTCAAAACTCAGGAAGCTCTTTCTGGCTGTAGTCAATCCGCCACCTCCTGATCTCTCTTTAATAAATCTCACTACATTAAACTGGCTCCTTATACACCAAGGATGCTTTCATCTCCCCCAGAGCTAGCCAATTCACCCATCTTTCCTTTTCAAACCCTCCAGCAGCCCATAAACTTCCAAAAACATATAATCATCCTGCACAAAGGAAAAAGTAAAAGATGTCCATAAACTTCCAAAAAAACCCATATATAATCATCCTCCCCCTTCACCACTGTCAAGTTTCACATGATAATGATTTCACCAGCGGTACTTGCTGCTCCCAATTTATCCCAACTAACAAATCTGCATGTCCAAGAATTCCTAACAAATTTCTTTGGAATAGTTTATTTTTCTTCTGTTTCGTGAAAGCTAATGAAATTCATCTCCCACTCGTTCGACAGGGATTTCACCACCATCCTTTATTCAGGTCTGTCATCCT